GCTCTGGAAGCAGCAAACATTAAATGTGCTAAAAATGAGGAAGGTGAGCCAGTTCACTTTGTGTTCAACAACTGCCTGAGCACAGAAATTACAAAGAAAAATAAGCGTGGACTGAAGCATGCCTGGGAGGTCACACTAGAAGGAATGAGGGAATTGTCTGATTTTCTAGATAAATCTACCCCCCAAAAGCTGGACACAGCTGTGAGAGTCCTGACTGAGAGGATCCAACTGGAAGCCTGTGTCAACAATTTGATAGACAAAATGGACTTATGTCAGCATAAAACAACAGAAATAGAACAAACTCTGAAAATTCTGAAGGAACACAAAGATCAGTTAGACAACCAGAGTTTCATAGTGGAGGTTGATGAGCCCTACAAGGATAAGGAAGATATTCCTGGTGGGATGTCGTTCTTCATGTATGGTGGAGCAGTAACCTGTAACGTCTGTAAGGAGAACTGTCACTATCCTGGATGCACGCTGGCCTGGTATCCATCCCACTGTAAGGTCATGAAAAAGGGCCGCTGCACCATTTGTACCAACAAGTGTCCTGCTTCAGTTCACGTTAAAGAAGAATGGAAATATGTGACCAAGACAAGGAAAGTTAAGAAGACCATTGAGAATCTGGAAAAAAAACATAAACATGAAACTGGTAAAATGAAAAATGAGAGTCTTCTTGAAAAGCTCCAAAGTGAGAAGAAAAATCTGGAGGAAGAGAAAAACAGGCTTCTGGATGAAGCCTACCTACATATTGTCAAACTGGAGCAGATTGCACTGAAGGTGGACTCAGTGTTCACTTTCATCGACCCGGACTTCTTGATTAAGGCGATGAAGGAAAGAGGAGACACCGTGAAGGTCCAGAAACTGGAAGAGCTGAAGAGCAGAATGGATGAGGGAGTTATGGCAGGTCTGAGATATGGATTTCAGAATTTGGGTGAAAAAGCAAAGAACGTGTTTAAAAAGAGCAAGTGATTTAAAAATGGCCGAAAATTAGACACGACAAGTGTTGCATCATCCTGAACCGGTTATCGTTAGTTCCTGCCAGATAGAAAAGATTTTGTGGTGTTGGTTCATTTTATTTTCCATTAATCACATTTTAGATGGTGTAAAGGTTTAGATTTTTTGTTTTTCTTGTTGCTGTGATGCGTTTATATCCATGACCTGCTCAGGTATTGGACGTGTGCCTTAGATGGTCCAGAACCTTTTATCCTAACAGCAGAAGGTCAGCATTAACATGTTTTACTATATTATATATTTCAAATCATTGGGAATGAGGAGATGTACATTTATTACTCTCACAAAGGGGACATTAATACTATTTCAGTTATTTTCACTTTAAATATTATTGATAGTTATCAATGTATGTTTAGCTACACATTTGATATTTGAACGAATGACTTTTGTTTCTATATTTGAATTTTCATTTAAAGTTCTACTACAATGAATCAGGGGATTGTTTCTTTCTAATCAATAAAATCCCCTCTTGGGAAGTAGTTTTGATCGGAACTGTTCAATAGATTTAATCTGCTGGATTCAGCTGTAAATTGTACCTGATGATGATTTAATAAAGATATTCCAGCCCTACGTCGTCCACATGCTGATTTTTCCACGGCCAAACATGGAGTTTAAGGACCAAAGGTGAGAATTCTGACTTCATATAGAAAGTAGAGACTTATTGTGGTCTCGTAATAACCACCAGAGAGCTCACTGTCCTCCTGAAGGGACAACGTTATTACATATTATATCTTATATTACATATCAGAACAATTTGTGTGTACAATGGACAAGAGCTTAGAAGAAAATAAAGTTAAAAAGTTAAAGATGCTAAAGAGCCTAAAGACCCTCTTTCAACTGCTGCTTTGTTGAGTTGGACACAGTATTTTTGATCTGATTTCTAATGGTGCTATTTTCTTTTAATTTCATGTTTTAATTAACCATAGTTTATATCAGTTTTGGTTATTTTAAATATTTGGAGAAACATATTCTCTAATAAGTTAAACTAAAGCTAGTATTGACTAACTTGATGAGAATAAAGAACCTTTAGGTACCTAACTGAAAGTAAGAGTAGAACATGCCCAAACTCTTTGACATAAACCTCTTTAAATGATTATAAGAACGTCTGGGAGATGAACAGAAGACGAAGAACCGGCAGTGAGTCAAACAGTTTAACAATTTAACATCGATGTTCAGTAGATAGTAACGAGAAATCGTTTTGTTTTTACGTAAACAGTCATCTCTAAGCTTCCGTCACCAGCCCTACATTTCCCATGATCCCACGCGCGCACCGAAGTGAGTCGTCACCGTAACCATGGCTACGCATCTCCACCAACGGTTTTCTAACCGTCCGACAGGACAGCATAGCTAACGCGATCCCGGGCTTAGCATGTTTACTCTAAATTAACTTTACGTTTGATATTTCTCCCCATCAAACCTCCAGTTCGTCAAAACATGACCGCAGGTTTCCCGCCGTTCGCAGACTGTCTCGTGACATTTTTCGCGTTTTAAAACCGTTTAGGTTTCGCGCGTGAGTCTGGTGTAAGCTAGCAAACGTCTGTGTAAAGAGTCCCATTCAGGATGCTGAGAAGGTAAGAGATGAAGGGCTACAGCAAAGGTTCAAACATCCGTAAAAGACATGCGGGGCGTTTAATTTTTTAATGTTTTCTTTAGCTTTCCTGGAGCTTCCGTAGGAAACAGAGACTCCGTTTAAAATGTTCCACACTGGCGTGTTTTCCCTGTTTCCCGTAAACGTTTCGCGGAAATCGCTTCCATTGTTAATCCTCTAAACTCTCTGAAGCCGGTCTATGATTCGTACTATAATTAGGACAGTGTAAAGTCTCATTTAGACCAAAACGATCAGAAACGCAGGCAGCACCACTGAGAAGAACTGATGCCAATGAAGCGAATGCAAAGACTGGGTAAGTGATTAGAAACAGAGTTAAAGCTGATATTCTGTTTCTGGATTTAGCTGTTTTCCCCAGCCGAAATAGCGGTTAGATATCAGTGTTTCAGGTTAGGTAAACATCCGTGTCCAGCTGTGTGTTCCTGTGTTTTTTGTTCCAGGGATTAAATAAACAGGTGGATCTCAAACAGAGTTTGGAGCTTGGGTCCCTGTGAAGTTGTGCTGGGAGGGGTGACCGTTGCCATGGTAACCTCGCTGGGCAGAATAATAATAATGTCCCCCTGGGGTAAGGTTGTCAAAAGTATAGATACTCGAAAAAGTATCGATACTAAAATGTTGTATTCGGATACGATACTCATTTTCAAAAGTATCGATACCACCGCTGCTCCCCTTCTCTGTGATTTATTTATTTATTTACGTTGTTTATGATCATTAACAAGACGTTAGCCTTGCTAGCTGCGGCTAATGGCTAATAATAACATGCTACCATTGATCAAGTACATATCAGACTCCGCCCATATCCAAGTCGGCCATTTTGATTAGGTCACCAATAGGAAGATCCCAGGCAAGAAATTCCTAATTGCTTCATGGCAATATAGACATTAATTTAAAAATAGTTAAATGAACCTTTCAAACACTTAATTAAACTCTATACATATTATGTTAAAATAGTGTATATTAAATCGGTTTGTAAAATAAGCCCAAACAAGTTTAACCAAAAAATATGTATTTCTCACTATTATGAAGCCTGGAGGTTACATTTGATTAGCCCTGCTGCCCCCAGCCTGAAGCTAACTCTGTTAGCATAGCCCTGCTGCCCCCAGCCTGAGGGTAACTCTGTTAGCATAGCCCTGCTGTCCTCAGCCTGAAGCTAACTCTGTTAGCATAGCCCTGCTGCCCTCAGCCTGAAGCTAACTCTGTTAACATAGCCCTGCTGCCCTCAGCCTGAAGGTAACTCTGTTAGCATAGCCCTGCTGTCCTCAGCCTGAAGCTAACTCTGTTAGCATAGCCCTGCTGTCCTCAGCCTGAAGCTAACTCTGTTAGCATCCATCCAGCAGCTGTCACTGAGTCTCAGAAACCTCCCAGAGTTCCCACAGTGGGCCAGAACCTGAATGAAACCATGAATATACATGTAAAAGATCTAAAACTAGGTAACAAGAGGACATAAGAAATGACAAATGACCATATAAAGATCTCAGAAGGTCCAAAATAGTGCTTAGAAGACCATAAAATTTAGCTAAAAAGACCAAAAATGGCATGTAAAACTCCCAGAGTTCCCCCAGTGGGTCAGAACTCAGTCTGAGCCCTGCTGCCCTCAGCCTGAGGCTAACTGTTAGCATCCATCCAGCTGAAACCTCCCAGAGTTCCCCCAGTGGGTCAGAACCTGAATGAAACCCTGAACCAGCGTCTGGACGTTATCTGACGTTATCTATATTGGTGCTGCTGGAGGGAAGCAGAGCAAAGCTCCAGCTGGCGCTCCGACTCGTCCACGTGGAGACGCTGAGATTTCTGAGCTTTTTTAACACTACAAGGCTTTTCCTTCATCTAAAGACCTAAAAAGCTGATTTTCAGTGACTTTCCAAAGAATTCCCCACACAGATGTTCCTGTAGCTGAGCAGGAAACGCTGGTTTTACAGCAAACTGCTCTCAGAGCTTTCTGGGGGGAGTTGTTCCCTAAATGTGGTCTGATCTATCAGACAGTTTCTATCAGCTCTGTCAGCAGGACAGCAAAGATAAGTCAGCATTTGTGAGGCTGTTAAACAATGTTCTTCCTTCATCTAAATACCTAAAAAGCAGATATTTTAATGTTTTTCTACAGGATTCCCCCACAGATGTTTATCCCCATTTAAATGGATCCCACACAGTATCCTCTCCTTTCTCAAGTCACATGGGACAGCAGCCCTGCTCCCATTGGCCCGTTTGGATGAGCTCCTCCCATAGAGGCAGTCTAACACTGCATCGTCCAATCAAACCTTTACATTTCCATTGTTGTTGGGTCTCAGGAGTTGAAGGAGTCTTCAGACTTCCTGGACGTCCCGAAGCTCTTCTGTGGATGTGGGCTGGAGCTGGAAAGAGTCCAGCCGCCCTGTTTTCCTCTCCTCCCCTAAAGCATGTCAGCATGTCTCTGCTTGCTGAAGAAAAGGTCTCTGCCTGTCAGAGAGGAAAAGTCCGAGCAGCAGAAGCTTGTGGATCAAAGTGGAAGAAAGCACCATCTCTGCTGGAGGAAGTCAAAGAAAACTGGACTCATTTCTGTGGAATGAAGCGGTTTTATTGGAGAAAGTCAAAAGGAAAAAGACAGAGGGACAAAAACGTTGTGCTTTTAACTCTGAACTTTTACAGGAAACTCTGTTGGACGTTTTCTGTCAGATTTCACACGAACACTGAAAGAAGGAAAAAAAAGAGTGTTCCTCCCCCCAAAGCTGGATTGGTGGTTCAGAGCCTCACTGGTTCTCACATCAAACAGCATGAAGGATCTCCTCCTGGATTCTGAGCCAGGAAACGGGCCCCTGAACACCTCAGAGCTGCACAGACACAGCAAGAAGCAGCAGAACAGAAACGAAGAGCAGAAACGTCCCAGCAGTGAACTCTGAGCAGCAGTTTGAGAGTTCACCTGAGCTCACACAACTCTGCTGATGATCCAAGACCAACACCGAGTCCAGCACAGAGAGGCTGAGTGAAGGTGGTCTGGACTCTGTGGAGGAGAGTCCTGGTTTCAGAGACTCTGTAGAAGGACAGAGTACCTGCTCTGGGATCCAGGTACACTCCTACTTTGGAGGAAGGAGGAGCTGGGAGGGAGGTTTCTTTGTTGTTGGACCTAAATGTAAAGCCCTTTTTATTACAATCTAATGACCAAGATTTGTCATTACATCCAAATACAGATTCAATTCCTGCTCTGCTGATATTCTTGTATGCGACTGCTACAGAAACTCCCCCAAACACCCCTCTCCACTCCACCTCCCAGTAACAACGTCCAGTCAGACTCTCTCTGCTCAGGACCTGAAACCGGTTAGTGAATCTGTATGGATGATCAGGATAAGACTGAGGTTCATCCATTAATTTCACTTTCCTGTTCCCCTCTGACAGTAACAGCCAACTGTTTACTGTGTTTGGATCCAATGTGATTTTACATGAACATCTTAAGAAGTCGGCTCTGCTCTCTGGTTCTGGTGGCAGTAGAACATCCGGCTGAGCGGCTGCCAGTGAGACTTTAGTCCAGTCCTGTGTCAGGATGTGCTGCAGTTTGTCTGTGAGCTCTGACACAGCTGCTGTCACATCCTCAAAGCAGCTCAGAGGACGCTCCCTGATGCTGGAGGAGTGTGTGGACTCCCTGAATGCTGGCAGTGAGGGGCAGCTGGTCAGAAACTGGATGTGGTCCTCTGTGTGTGAGAGCTGCTGCAGCTCAGCGTCTTTCCTCTGCAGCTCAGTGATCTCCTGCTCCAGCTCCTGCTGAAGCTCTTTGACTCCCCTCACTGCAGTTTGCTGCTGGGATCTGACCTGCTTCTCCACATCAGAGCGTCTGTTCTGGATGAGACGGATCAGCTCAGTGAACGTCTTCTCACTGTCCTCCACTGTTTTGTCAGCAGACTGATCGATGGCCTCCACCTCCTGCTGAAGCAGATCCACATCTTTCTGTTTGTTCTGGATTCTCTGCTGGATTTGTTGCCGCCTCCCCTCCAGCTCTCTCTGCCTCTCAGTCCTTTCTGCTGCCGCTGACACTGTGTGGTGGCTTTTATGCTCCTCCACAGAGCAGAGATAACAGATGGACTTCTGATCAGTGCGGCAGAACAGCTTCTTCACCTCATCATGGACAGAGCAGATGTTCTCCTGGAGCTTCTTGGAGGGCTCCACCAGCTTGTGTTTCTTAAACGAAGCCACATCATAATGCGGCTGAAGGTGTTCCTCACAGTAAGAGGCCACACAGCTCAAACAGGACTTGATGGCTCTCAGTTTTCTCCCAGAGCAGACATCACAGGCCACATCTTCAGGTCCAGCATAGCAGTGGTCAGCAGGAGCAGCTTGGAGTCCAGTCTTCTTCAGCTGCTCCACTAAATCTGCAAACATGGTGTTTCTTACCAGGACAGGCCTCGGTGTGAAGCGTTTCCTGCATTGAGGGCAGCTGTGAACTCCCTTCTGATCCTCTCCATCAAAGTGGGCTTTGATGCAGCTCATGCAGTAGCTGTGTCCACAGGGAATAGTCACCGGATCCTTCAGGACCTCCAGGCAGATGGAGCAGGAGATGCTTTCTGTGTCCAGCTTAACTCCTTTCTGAGCCATTTCTGCTGTCAGTAACTGTTAAACAGTTCAACTTTCCCCTGAACAGAACCGATCCGTGAGCTCCGAAAGACGACAGACTGACAAGCTGAAGCAGGAAATGAGGCTTTCCCGTCACACGCTTCCTTATGAGAGCTCAGTGGGGGGGCGGGGATAGAGGAAAACTAACCCAACAGGTTTCTCCAGAGGCAGGGTGTGTACTGTGGGATTTACATATCTCCTAACTCGGTTAAAGTTCACTCATTTGTGGTGTCAGTACAGCCAGTAGCAAAGGCCTGTTCTGGCTCTGTTCTGGGACATTTCGGTCGTTAAGTAGTCCCACACGGTTTGACCGGGCCCAAAAAGACACGCACGTCTGAACCTACCACGGGATGCATGTTTGAATTTCTCTTTCTGATTAGTCCCCGCGTTTTTGAAAAAGGCGAAAAAAGCGAAACACTGTCCCATAGGAAATGAATGGGAAGGGCAAAAAAATGGGCCCGAAACGTGGGCAGCTTCTGGGCCTAATCGTTTGGCCCCACAACCTCCAATAAACCTCATTTGAACATTAAACGGGTCACGAAAGACTGGCCTCCACACTATTGGAGCCACTACGCCTGATCTCACACCGTTTGGCCGCAATCTCAGTTGACGTTTTAGCAATAATCAGAAAAATCCCAAAATCTGCCCTCCACTCTGGTGACATCATTACAGGCTGTAACTTTCCTGTGGAGATATTTACAAAAAAAATCAAAGTCCCGCCTCTCACGACCAAACCGTAGGGCCAACAAGACCAAAAAGGCCTGAAAAACTAGCTGCGGGTGTTCTCTTTCAGCCAATGTGCCCACTTAGTCCGTGGGCCAGAATCTGTACGACGTCTCCTTAAGCAATTCCGTTTGAACTTTTAGGGGGCAACTTTCTTTCACTTGGATAAGTTGCTAGAGACTACAGTGATCTTAAAACGCCAATGTTCCCACCCTTTCACTTGCACATTAATAAGTTATAATCGATTAAAAATATAATTTTTCGCCGTAATCTAAGAAATCGCGAGATCCGAGTTTTGCTTATCAGCCAATCAGATGGCTGAATCTCAGCGCGAGCGCTCTGTTATTTAAATATGGCAGCGCCCGTGAAATGTTTTTTGCACTTGTTTCAATACGAAAAACGTCCAATTATTTCATTTTCTGGTGCCAGTTGGCGGCGATTTATTGAAAGTTGCAATTCCTGGATAGACCTGGATGGCAGGAAGAAACAAATAGCTGAAACGTTGTCTCAGTACACAGTTGAGTCGCCGGGACCCGCTGAGCTGGGGAACAGTAGGAAGTGCTACTCGAAGTACACGGACAAAACAAAAATTGGGAGAGCAAGTAAACGTGTTGTACGCGAGCAAACCCAAAGCAATCTTTGCTGTCATCGTGAAAGAAGCTGATATCAGACTTCTACTTCATGCAAAGCATGCTTATTTGGAATATAAAGATATTGTTATCTTGAGCCCAGACACTGATGTCATGGGCTTGGCTTTGGGTTGTGTGCATTGTTTTGAGAGTACTATCTATTTTAAGACAGGGACTGGCAGCAAAACTTGTATTGTTAATATTTCTCATCTAGCAAGTCTTCATGGTCCATGGAAAGGTCTAGCTTTTGTTGGTCTTCATGCTTTTACTGGATGTGACATGTTAAGTGCCTTTAAAGGGAAAGGAAAAGTTAAAGCCTTAAGTCTGATGCTTGAATCAGAGCGAGCTGTTAATTGCTCTCAAATTCTTGGGAAAAATTGGGATGTTGATGATAAATTGTTCATTCAGCTTGAAGAATTTGTCTGTCACTTTTATGGACAGAAAAACTGGGTTAATGATGCCAGGTTTAAAATGTTCTCTTCTCTGTAAATCAGATAAATCTTTTCCACCAAATGAGGATTGTCTTTGACAACATTCTAAGCCAGCTCCATACCAGCTAGCAATTTATAGAAGGTGTTTGGACCAGTTTATAAACGCCCCTTACCCAGAAGGCCATGGCTGGTCCTTTGAAGATGGAGTGCTCTCCTATTGTTGGATGGTAAATCCCACAGCTCCATCTGATGTCACCATGGACATGTCTTGCAAGTGCAAGACAAATGCATGTGCTACACAAATCTGTC